AGCACCATTACAATCAAATGACAATGCAGAATTACCCGCTGATCATTGAAAAATAATAAGATTCTCTACAACGCCCCACAAATGAGCGATAACGAAAAGTAAAAGAAAAAAGTATTGCATATTTATCGCTATACGGATGGCTGCAAATATGTTGACAACGCAGCATAAACAGTAGAAATTTGAAAATTGATTACAACATGGTATTATTTAAATTAAAGCGGTTTAAGTAATAATTCGCATTTCGATAAGAAATCAGTGCGAAATGTACAGCACCCCACTTCGGTATTGTGAATGTATTGATGTTATCCATAAATAACTTCTGACCACTCACTGACTCAATGTTCGAAAAATTTCATCACATCGAACATTTGAAAAAAGTGTCTGGTGATCGCACGAAATTTCTCCTTATTTGAAAACTAAATTACATTGCATTGCACTAACCAAATATTCAACACACATTTTAACGAATGATAACATTATTAAATCATACAATGTTGTTTTTTTTTATTTTTTATTTCACAGCAGTGGCCCAAGAAAGCTTCAAATGTCCAGATGATTTTGGCTTTTACCCACATGAAAATTCATGTGATAAATATTGGAAATGTGATAATAATGTAGCTGAATTGAAAACATGCGGAAATGGTCTTGCTTTCGATGCATCTGATTCGAAATTCTTAACAGAAAACTGTGATTATTTGCACAACGTTGATTGCGGCGATCGTACCCAACTTGGTAATTAATTAGCTATCTTTATCGCTGTACATCGAACGTAATTGAACAAACAAATTTAATGAGACGCTTGCATACATAATAAGAAAGTGGGATAGAGATAGAGATAGAGAGAGAGACGTAACCACATTCGCATTGGTGTCTCGCATTCAATGCACGCACTCGAACATTCACGGTGTAAACGCTTCGTTGGATTCATCTATTTTGGTATTTGCCATCAAAATCGATTGCATTTTACCGTTTAAATTATTTTTTTCGTTCGATAATGTGCTTCGATGAATTTTTTTTTTCACACTCAATTTATTCATCTGTCACCGTTTTACGAAAAATGCGTCAAACTTCGTGTGTGTACAATGTTCAGTTTTAGGTATTCATTTGGCACGTTCGTTCACTTGGTAAACAACTAGTATTATATTATATTTGATAGTATTACGCTAATACAAACGGTTCAAGTAATGGACACTGACATTTCCATTTGACGTTCGACAAATTTACTATTTTACAGTTTACATTCTCGGCTTCAACTTAAACCATAAACATGTACGGAATTGAAATGCATTTCCATTCAATTGATTACGTAATTCTCTCTCTACATTTTGTCTGCAAATACAGTAAACAAGAGATGGAAAAAAAAGAAGAAATAGAGTAAGATGCAAAGAGTGAAGAGTACACAGAGAAATGAAGTAATGATAAAAAAACCGATGCACTCAATGCCCATACACACTTGTTGAATTGAGCAAGATTTCTAAACCTTTGAAAAATTTGACGTATTTTTGATGATTCAAAGCGTTGTCGATTGTCGTTCATTGCTTTGTTCTTGTTTCTCTATTTCATTTTCGTTTTTATCTTTACGGACGATGAAAAGTTCGAATTATTTGATTTCATTTCTTTTATATGTCTTTACAACGTCTTTACAACGTCCATATGTGATTTATGGAGTCGGCTATCTTAAAACCACACGTTTTTCGTTTATTCTTTATGTCATCAGACAACTGACTGAATCATAATCACACGATGAATGGAGAGATTTCATGGTCGAAATTATGTGGAAACAGCCAAATTTTGACACCAATTTGGCCATACATTGATGCAAGTTTTTATTTTCAACGAAAATTGGGAAAGTGTCGTCTGTTAGAACTTCATTTTTTGTTTTCGACGATTCAACAGCCAATTTAATGTCTGATAGTTTGGGGTTGATCTCTGATTGAAGTAAAAACCTTTTCCCCCGCAAATTTTCAAAAAAATTTGAAATTACCCATTTCTGTTTTACTAATTTCCAACAATGTTTTCCATGTATATTGAGAAATTTATTCTTATTGTTCGATTTCATCATTACCTCAAGCATTTCATCGTTCAAATGAATTCATTTCTTTTATATCTCTTTTTGCGATTTATAGAACCAGCTATTTCAACAACACACTGTTCCCGCTTGTATGGTATCTTTGCCGATGAAAATAAATGCGATGTTTTTTGGAATTGCTGGAATGGCGAAGCAAGCCGTTATCAATGTTCACCTGGATTAGCTTATGATCGTGAAGCACGTGTCTGTATGTGGGCCGACCAAGTTCCAGAATGTAAAAACGAAGGTAAACCCAAACGATTTTTGCTTTATATTTGGTCTTCGTAATTCTGTTGCCACTAAATAAATGAATCGTATGCCTTGTATAAATTAATCGGTGCGCTAAACAAAGTATCACGTTTTGAATGAAAACTTGCAGAAGTCGCCAATGGATTCAATTGCCCAGCACCCGGTGAAGTTTCAAATGCTGGTTCATTCTCACGTCATGCTCACCCAGAAGATTGCCGTAAATACTACATCTGTCTGGAAGGTGTTGCCCGTGAATATGGTTGTCCAATCGGAACAGTATTCAAAATTGGTGACAGCGATGGCACTGGAAACTGTGAAGACCCAGAAGATGTTCCCGGATGGTAAGTGATCACATAATTATCACTGTTTATTTTTTGTTTGTTTCGTTTGCTTTTTTTCGTTGCACTCCATTTTAGCTTTCTCTGTGTTGCTTGATTCGCTTTTTTTTATTAATTTGCCAATCGTGCTTAGTAGGTTTTTATTTCGATGTATTCCACAGAGATTACGTGCTTATATTTGAAATTTTTCGTTCATGTAACAAATGCTTGCAACTGTGCACCTTGGTGAAACTGTACATGATTTAAAAGAAATTAATTTATAAATAACAATCTAATCACATTCATTTACAACCAATTAACAACAATTATCTCCCAAACTTTGTGCTAATACATATTTATCTTTCAATCTTTGCAAACATAAGACATTTTCCATTCGAACACACACACACACACACACACACCTATCAAAATAAAATAATATAAAAAACCATCAACATAGAAAAACACATATATCGTACCAATGACCATAAAAAAATGACATGAAATTGCTGAAATTTTCTGTAAAAAACAAACAAACATCTATTTACATTACAGCGAAGACTACTACGGAGACTTGGATTTGAAGAGCATTCGTAAGAGTGAATTGTTAGCTGGTATTGCAAGTACATCAAACAAAGCACCGTCCAAACCACGTCCATCTGCCGAAAAGGAAGCGTAAATTAAGGACAAATCTTGGCTTCCCTTTTCTATTTAGTTAAAACTATTACCTTATAATCTGAGTCTCGAAAATAATTTATAAATATATTATTTGACAATAAAATGACAACAAAAACAAGAACATCACACAAACAAAAAACAACACCAACACCAACAATCAACCGAAATTTATGACAATATGAAAAAAGAAATGAAGGCTACATTGTCGAAAAATTCGAATGTGGAATCACACATTCAATTTGCAATATCCAACAAATAAAAATGGAAATAAACATTGATTGTCTTATTGTTTCATTTGAGAAATCCCTGCATTTGCTTACTTTCGCATGAATATCTTCCAATGTTCAATTCTTAACATCATTCTTGTTCCAAAGCAATCGGACATTTCGAAACGCAACCATTGTCATAAAATATGAACATTTTTGTCCAATGCATAAGATGACCAAAATGGCAATCAATTTTAACTTCTCATTTTTATTGAAAACATTTATGCGAGACTGTTAATGTATAAGAAAACGTGACATCATTTAATGACACAAAGAATTCAAGAGAAATAATAGTCCACCGTCATCAATTAATAAAAAAAAAACAAAATCAAAACAATCATTTTTGTGAATGTATATAAAATCACATGTTTTCTTTTCAATTAGTAGCAAAAATAGTTTCATCGTTATTAATATGCGATAGGCATCTGTTCTACACACAAGTTCTTAAAACAGAACCATTCAAATACATCTAGAAAAAGAAACAAAAAACTAACCATAATGCCTATTTTATTAGAAAAAGAAGAGAATAAAAAGTCAAAATAAAACAATCAAATATCGATAGCTTTTGTGTATTTTCACTCAAACTGATACTGAAATCAGCCAACTTTTTTTCTATTACACCCAAAATAGCACAAGAAATTTCTTTTTATTTGCAACAAGTAACCACTAACACATTAAAGGTGTACCAAAGTAGTGGCCAAATTATGATCCAGACCAGATAACTGTAGTTATGTGCCTAATCGTTTCTCAAAATATTCACTTAATATGGCACATAAAATCGAACGGTTCTGGATTTGTAAGGGGAATCAGGAACAAACTGTCTTTACGAATGATTTAATCACTGCACTTTTGTGATGGCACACATTTCTTTCACACTATAATAGAGAGATATTAACTTCTTCGAAATGTTTATTTCACTTCATAATTTAGCCGAAATTTTTTGCAACTATCGACAGCAAACAATATTAGCAACAAATATCTCTACTCATTACCTTTTTTTCTTTCTCTCTTTTTTCACACATTTTCGATTTTTAAAAACAAAAACATCATACCATTTTCTAAACACATACAGTGAAGAGTATTACGGTAAAGTCGACTTGAAAGCACTCAAGAAAGCGGGCTACTGAGATTGAGATGTGCAACAGTTAAATATTTGATGAACACCACAATTTCACTGTTCAGCGGGATTTCGAAAATGGAAACATTAGAGTGAATAAAAATCTTTTCTTTTTTTTTTATCAAATCAAATAAAACGAAAATCGAAATTAAATTTTAAGAAATACACGATAAAAGAAATATAACGAAGAAAACACACGATAACATATCAAATCTTATTGCGAAGAACATCAACTAAAGACTGACAGGGATATGCAAATCGAAGCGATTTATGCAACAAAAACGAAATATTTACATCGAATACATCTATTCAATCGACGAAAACGTTTATTTATTCCGCTAAATTGAATGTATTAAATAATTTTTAATATTAAAATATTTTATGTTTTCCCTTTTGTTTTTGTTATTCAAATCTATGTTTTTATTATACGTATGGAATTTAATTTCAAAATATGGACAATTGACTCATTTTCACAAATAAGTTTTTGGAGATAGTGAATAAATGAAAAGACAACCTCAAAATCTATTCGAATCATTTTACACCATTTTTCTTAGATAAATCAAAACGGACGCAATAATTCTTTTGAAGGAATTTATTGATAAATTTTGAATGATTTCGGTAAGTATACTTCTTTACCAACGAAACGATGGCCAATATAAGGGGTAATATTTTATCTTCGCTGTGTTAGCTATCGATTAACAAAAATGTGCCTTAAAATGTTGTACCATTGATTCAAATATTCATTGAAATATTTATTTCACGATTACAATTCGAACGAAGATTTGGTTTTGAAAAATGAGATATGCCGTAGAATTCAAATTCCAGTTTTGCTTTTGATCCACGAGCGAACAGATGTCACACGACCATATACTCCCGGTGATTTCGGATTTATACAGCACGGCCCCATGAAACTACACCGATTAACACACGAGCATCTCCAGTCATAACCAGCACATATCATTCGATCATTTATTATAACGGCAAAACCATGCCATGTAAATAAACTGCGTGTAGCTCCTTTGGAAAATCTTGTTTTGGAAAACTCCTTGTTCCTGATGAAAAAGTCAATGGTCATTGTAATTTTTTCATTTTTCTTTATAGTTTAACCATTTACCCCATCCAGATGCCAATGCAATTGTTCCGCACTTTCAATCTCAAAATCTTCCATTTCTAATGCAATCGGCTGAACTTTGTCAGAAAATGCTAGCTTTTCGACCAATTCCAAGAGTAAGAAATCGAAATCGATATTGATTATATTATAGTTTTCGTGGCGAATGATGTGTTTTACTTGGATAACAGATCCATCTTGTTGATTGTTTGATGAACCAGCACGGATGAAATATTCACTCGCATTTCCTGAACTGGAATAAAGAGCATTGATCAAACAAAATATCACTTAAATAATGGCTTCACTTCTACTCTAGTGAATTTATCTCAACAGCTCTTCAATTGCCACCATATCAACATGGAATGATTCACGGTACAATGCACTGCTACTATGAATGTAGTACGTTTAGAAATAAACTTTAGTGAATGACACTTCCCGAGAGCACATGTTACGCTCTAAAATGAGCGTCTACGCTCAAGAAAATAAATGGACTGTCAACAAAGAGTCAATGATCATTATTTGGATTTGAAAAATGGTTACGCTACCATTACGCTTTTTACTTTGACATCAAATCATTGAATTCAAACAATGGTTACACTACGTTTATGCAACGGCCTAACGGCTCAACCGTATTCTTACAAACCCATTAGATGTGATATTTGTTGTTTCAAAAAATAAAAAAATATTAATTTAGCCGTTAGGCCGTTGGGCCATTAAACTGCCTAACGACCCAACGACCCAACGGCCCAACGACCTAACGCATAGACCGTTTTGTTCGGCGGCTCAATAAAAGGTCACGTTCATAGCGTTTTTCTTGCGAATTGTTTTTTAAATCACAACTTTAACCCATCGCTTACAAATCATTTCGCATAAAATTCGCAAAATATCGAATAATTCGCTATGTTCTGATTGAGTTTCGATCCCCTAGTTCAATTCATATTAACAACTTTTTTCATCTTGTAATAAGAGCACACATGAATAAGTGCGAATAAAAATTCGTCGAAGTAATTTTTAAAATCTTACTATTAAAATGGAACTAATAAATAGTTCTTCATAAGGTGTTCGTAAACATACCAGCAACGAATGGTTTTCGTTTATTTAGCTCCATTTCTAGCGACGGCTTGATTTTAGATATAAATTATATTGAGTCCATGTATTTCAAATAAAAAAAAGACAAAAGAAGAACCTGGAGACTGTGAATATCCCCATAGAAGAAAATTTTGCTTAATTCATATTTGAAATCGCTTTTAGATTATTAGCTCCATCTATTGTATAAATCAAACACTTTAGACCAAAGCTATTGCCAACAGATACTAATTAAAACTGCTGCTATTTTTTATATCTTTGCGTAAGTTCCGTTTAATAATATTTCTATTTAAATAATAAAAGGATATTTGTCAAATTTCTTTATATATTTGAATATTTTAATCTGATAAATGCGATAAAAAGGTATTTCAAGATGTTTGCGCTTCTGAAACAGAAATGAGCGGTAAACTATGTTGACATTCGTTTATGTGATGTCAATTTGAAGCTGAATGTTTTGTCAAACCAAGGTTATAGTGGAATGATTTTTTTTTTGTGCAAATCATTTGAATAAACAGCAAATGAAATCATGGATAATTTAAAAAAAAGTCGATGTTTATTAAAAAGTGTTGAGGCAACGCATCCACACATTGAAATATCTACAAACAGTGACACATTAATTGGTAGAACGCGCGAATCACAACTTGACGATACATTGGTGTCGAAAAAACACATAAAAATGCGCGCTGATTTTGATAAGAAATGCGTTATCTTCGAAATACTCGGTTTGAATCCATCGACACTGAACGGTGTGACTTTAGAAAAAAATAAAAAACACAAAGCTTTCCAAGACGATATAATCGAAATTATTCCATCAAAGTATCCATATAAAATTCACTTTGAATTGGCCAATCACAGTCGAAAACGAAGTGCAGACGACAAAACGATCGAAAGTCCACCGAAAAGAATGAAATACAAAATAGGCATTTCATTGGATGCGAACAAACAAGGTACAAATACATCATGGGAGAGCTACAATAATGGCCAATTGTTGGTGTATACATCGCCAAATTGTCAACCATCGGAAAAAATTGCTGCTTATGATATGGATGGAACGCTCATCAAAACTCAATCAGGAAAAGTGTTTCCAACCGACATTGATGATTGGACATTGGCATTTGGTCCTGTGACAACAACACTAAAATCAAAACATTCGGATGGATTCAAAATTGTGATATTAACGAATCAAGCTGGTGTTACGTCGGGAAAAACAAAAGTGGCTGACATCAAAAAGAAAATCGAAAATGTTATAAAAGCGCTTTGCGTACCAGTACAAGTATTTGTTGCAACTGGTGACAATTACTTCCGTAAACCAATGACTGGTATGTGGCAGGCTTTATGTGATCAAAAAAATGGCATAAATGTCGTTGACATGAATCAGAGCTATTTTGTGGGTGATGCAGCCGGTCGTCCAGAAATCAAAGCAATGAAAAAGAAAAAAGACCATTCATCTGCCGATCGTTTGATGGCCATCAATTTAAATTTGACATTTTTCACACCCGAAGAACACTTTTTAAAAGTACCAACGCAAAATTGGATCAAACCGGAATTTAATCCCAAAGACTATTTAAAACGAACAGTTCAAATGATCGATGAGCCGAGAACCAAAATTACATCAACTGATCTGGAATTGATTTTATTGGTGGGCGGACCTGGAACCGGTATATAAAACTGAACAATTTTCTTTTTCTCTCGTTACATTATGATTTATCGATATTCATATAGTTTCTTTTGTCATTTTATAGGTAAAAGTCGCTTTTGTAAAGATCATTTGGAAGGAAACTATGAGATTGTAAGCCGTGACGTGATTGGAACATGGCAAAAATGTGTTGATCGTGTCAATGATTGTTTGAAAACAAAACGCAAAGTTGTGGTCGACAATACGAATGGAGACCGAGAAAGTCGTGCCCGTTATGTGAATGCAGCTAAAAAGCATAAAGTTCCATGTCGATGTTTTGTTATGACAACTAGCTTCAAGCATGCCGAACACAATATCGCATTCCGTGAACTTACTGATACCAAACATTCGAAAATCAATAAAATTGTACTGAACAGTTATAAAAAAAACTACCAAGATCCAACGAAGGAAGAAGGATTCACTGAAATTGTCCGCATTAATTTTGTTCCAAAGTTCAACGATGAACAAGATAAATGGCTTTATGAAATGTATTTGTTAGCGTAAAAATCATTTGATGTCGCTTTTTTTTCTCTATTTATTGTCATTTTCGAGGCTATTCTGTTATTTGAATAAAAGAAATGCAAGTAGATAAGAAAAAAACAAAGATGTTAGAAATGATGGAATTTCTATGAATTTTTATTTCGATTTTTTTTTTATTAAAGAAGAAGAGCCATTGTTTTGAATAATGTCTATTCCTTCTTGGCGGCAGCCTTTTTGGCTTTTGGTACCCGTTGTGATCTCAACAAAGCGCTAGCACGGCGAACGGCAGCCTGTAAAAATTGAAACATAAATAAAAATTAATCAAATTATCAAAGATGATTGTGAATCGCATTCAATTGAAATATTGGGAGTTTGTCAATCAGTAAGGTTGGATCATCAAAATTATTACAGCGATCTTGGTATGTAGCAAATTTTTATAACAGAGTCATCATAACGACGTTTAAGTGAAATTTAAATCGTTAATCAATTTACCTGTTTGAGGTCGTTACGATAATGGTTGTGAACCAAAGTGTTTCGTAGCTTCTTCAATGAACGACGTGCACCTTGGTCGAAATTGACTTTGTAGGTGTTCTTTGCTGGTTTGTTCTACAATTTTTAGAAACAGAAAAAAAAAGACATTTTAAACACAACTCATTTTTCATTTTTTTTTTTACAAATATGTTTGTTTTTTTGTAAATAATCAGTTATCATGGGTGATGAATGTAGTCAATCATAAACTCTCAGTTAAAATGAACATCATTTTGTAATCAATTTGAGCGAACAAAATAAAAACAAATGCTAAATAAAACTCACTTCATTCTTCTTGGTTTTCAAGACAACTGTGAAACCTTTCTTGTCATTAGCTGGAACAACAGCAACGGTTTTCTTTTGTACCAAACCACTGTAGCGGAATGAGCTCACATTTTTAAGATTGCTTGCTTCCTGAAAGCGGAAAAAAGTGCATTAATTACCTTGGTCTCACTACAAAAATGTGACGATTTAACGAAATGTGAAAAGCCTCAGAGTAGCAAATAATATGAAATAATCATGATTCGATCAGAGATCTTGGTGATAAATACATTCATCATAAATTGTATGCAAAATTTGCGTTTGCCACTGTACTTCATTGAACTTACCGTGCTGAATGGTTTCTTGATGTTGCGTTTTTTCAGCAAGTATGCATTGTTGTTGCGGACGATCAACCAGTTCAAATCAGGTGAAGCCATCGTTTATCCTGAAATGATCACGCCATAAAAATACGGTACATTAGCAAAAAAAAGTTCCATTGAACAAAATTGTATACGACACATAACCTCACAAAAAATATAGATTTTTAATGTATTGCACACATCAGTCATATGGGTGATGAATGTAGTCAATCATAAACTCTCAGATTTTCAAAAACATCATTTGAATGCAATACACAAGACAAAAACCATATTTTCCATAAATTATGTCTCGACTTTCACTTCCGAATGGACATTAAATGCAAAAAAAAAAAAACAAATTGAACCATTTCGTCTTGTTTGTCACCGAGATGCCGAACATACAACACGTGTAAACACAAGCATTTCGTTTTTAATTAAATTTCTAACGCTAATTTCTGGACACATTTGGAAAATTTCCATGAAATTATTGTGCACAATGTAAAACCGAATTGAAATCAATTGCACTTAAAATGTGGTTCGAATTTGTTTTGACGAATTGATTAAAATAAAAATTTATTTGGTCGGAGAAACTCACCTTTGTGTGATAGTGGCAAATGTCGAAAAGAAAAAGGAAATGGTATGGCGGATTGAAGTCATATTTGACGTTTCAATTGTGAATAACAAACATGGCGACCTCTATCAAATTGATGTTCGAAATTTCGAAATGTGTGCATGTCAATGACAGATGGCAATTTCACAACAGCAACACCACTATTTTTATTTTGAACAAATGAAATAAACAAATCAACGTAAAATACGAATAAAAATAAAAACCACCGAAATTTGGAGTTTTGAACATAAGAGTAGCGACTACTTTATTCAATTTCTTAAAATGCTTTCAGAACAACACAAGAAACAAAAGTCAGCTGAATTTAACAAGAAACAATTTATGTTGGGAAACATTCTCAAATTGCTACAAATTGTGTGAAAAATTGAATAATTCAAATGATTTCACTCTATTCACATGTTTTCAAAATATGTGTGTGTACGGTGATTTTGTGTGTGGTTTTTTTCCTGTTTAAATTATTTAAGTCATTTTGTTGGATATGTTCAAGAGCTAAGAGTAACGTGTAAACATTTTATTTGTATTGTTTTCGTTTTGACCGTATTATCATTTGGTTAATTTTCTTGTTTTAAATAGGTTTCGGCACGATTTTCCACAATGTCTTTCACCAATTTTTCAAGTGATTCGCGTGAGTCTATCATTTGGCCAACTTCAGATGCGATCTCTTTTGCTAGCCATGGTTTGAAATGTTTATCGTCGTCTAAAATAATGTTTTTATTAATTTCAGCATCAACTGTGCTCAAAACATCCGGCAGCAATTTTGAAACATAGTTATGGAGCAATTTGGCAGCATTAATATCGTCAGTCGTTTGTTCATCGATTTTATTTGTATTCATTTCCATATTTTGTTCCGTATCCAGTCTTTTCAATTCGGAGTTTTGCGATTCCCTGAAAGCTAAATATTTCTCGGTGTCTCTTTGCAATTCGGCCATTTCTTCTTCTTGCATAAATTCACTGAGCGCTTGTTTCATTGATATTTCCACTAAAGAGTCCAGAATTGGTTGAACTTCCTCATCAAAATTGTACAATTCTTCCATATTTGTTTCGGTCGCAACATCAACACCCGATTTTGATGACATGTATGGCACATTTGGTATATCATACAAATACAAATCGGTTTGACATTCAACACTGAAATCGGATGGCTTAACGAGTAACTCTTCAAGATAACGTTCCGTTTGGATTGTTTCATGGCGTCGACCCTTAACGGGTGGCGGTGTTCCAATAACACTTCTTTTACTTCGATTTGAATAACGTTTTCGTAGCAATTGACGTCGTTCGGCTTCCGACTCCTTTGACATCGCATCAATATCACCCTTTAATTATAAACATATCAATTATTTATTCGCATTTTCATACAAATCCATTTCTATCAAAATATTGATCTTGCTAGATTGAATATCGAATATGTGAACACTCAGTAATACTAGAAATAATTATAGCAATGACTAAAACTACGCCTACATCTACAATTATGCGATTACTTTTTATTCGTCCAATTCAATAAATTGACACGGCAAAAGCATTACTAAAATTAAATTTCAACTAAACAGAATTCGAATGAACATCCAATTGTCCATTATTCAACGAATCAAACAGAATCAAAAATGATCAGATAGATCGAATGCATATCACAGACAATATCCATAATATATATGTCGTGATTGTGCTAAATAAAAAGCATACATGATGTTAACACGATATGAATCATATGGAGAAATAAATACGAACCAAACAAAATATGCCGATTGAAAATGTTTTGTGTCATTTGTGTCTATGCAAAATAACGAATTATTTAATAAAAATTTCATCAATTTCATTGAACAGAAGCAGACAACAAATGCAATCGGCATGTGTATACATGATAAATATATGATTTGTCCAATGCAAATTGAATGTGAAACAATACATTTGGTAATATGTTAACATTCAAAGCAATGTGCCATCATTTATTTTGATGAATTTTGAATGTCATTTTGAAGTGATACTGACTCGGATTATTCAAAAAGAAAAATACTGGAACAATTTTCCAAAAATTCGGGGATTTTTTTCGTTCAGAATTTTTTTTTTCGAGAAATCTACCGGCATTCCAAAAAGTACGACTCTCAAAACGCTATTTTTATTTAATCTTATAAAATTAAAAGAATAATCAATATAAAACTATTGGCTTGTCTGATTTTATTCCTCTCTGAGATTTTTTTGTTTTGGCCACAATTTAACATTTTTGTGAATTTCCACGTTAAAAACTCAAGCTATGGGTCAAAAATGACTCGAAAATGGATCAAAATTTTAATTTTTCGACAGAAAAACCACAAAAAGTTAGAAAAATCTCAAAGATGAATAAAATCCGATGAACCTACAATTGTTGATTCATTTTCATTTTCTAACCAAAATTTTAACATTTTCTTCAGACTGCGAGACTTTGAGTGACATTTTGTCTGTGGGACAAAAATTGATAGTGCTAAAATTGAATGCAGAGAGGTGCAATGGCAATGAAAAAGTTGACTGACAATGTGAATGTGTAAAGATGAGATGGTTTTTATTCATGCAAAGATCAGCAAAAGACATAAACATGCTGCTAACATTCTTATATCAGGTGGATGCTCAGTTTGGGATAAAATAACTTTTGTATTCGGGATGAACGACAATGGTCGCTACATAATCATTGTAATTAGGCCATTTGATTTGCTACATAAAAACTCACCTTTCCTGATAGAAGACCAGCATAAGCAAAGTATGGATTCCACTAAGTATCCATAAGAAATTTTATTGGATTTCAATAGTAGGATTTATTTTTGTTTTGTTTCGATCGGGAAAATGCACAAGTAAAGAAATTAAATGATTCAGTCGAATATGCTCCGATGTGGATAAGTAAACAAACATATGACATACCAAAGAACATTCAAATTAGGGGAATAATTAATGAAAGCAAATAAAAATATTCCTAAATACTCTTGACAGTACATAAAATTATTAGAAACAACTAAAACATGTTTGCGATTGACATAATTTCATATCTAGAATATTTGATTTTCTCTATGTCTTAAAATGTTTTTTTTTTTTCATCATTGAACGTCAAATTGGTGCCGGCTTTATTCATTCAGTTTGGAATATTACGTTAAAAGTATTTGATGAACAATTACTATTATTGTTTGTATAAAATTTTAGTATTGATATCGATGGAAATGGATGCATATAAATGATTCGTTGAGTAAACCGGTATTTTTTACGACAGCGCACAAACGGTAATACGATTGAAGAACATGGTCACATGGACAAATATAATTTTAATTTTAATGGTAAAATTTTATGAGCGAAAGCCAAACAAAGAAAATTGAACGTTTATCCACGAATGAATAATATTATGAGTGTGTTAATGTGACCTCATTGGCTTCAAATTTATCATTTTATCAAGTGTAATGTGAATGAACTACTAATTAGATTGTATCGCTTGAGACACATGCTATTTAAGTAAAACAAACACATAAGATACAATTCAATAAGGATAAAAAGTAAATAGAAAATTAAATTGTGATTGATTTACGGGCAAAAATATGGGACCAAAAATCTAACAAAACTCTACAATCTATTATAATGCTATAAAAAATGTTGGTCTTATTTTTGTTCATCGTTCAAAATGATAACAATCGTACAGTGACCGGTTCGCGCATATTTCTATGCCTGATAGCTATGCTAAGCATTACGGAGACGCAAGCCGCAACGCACCCGTCACCATTCGATTCGAGCTATATTGTATGCGCACGGTCGTCTGCATAAACGAACATGTGTATTGTTCATATAGAGTGAACGGCGATGCGTCGGTTGCGTTTGCGGCTATGCTTGGCATATCTATGCTACCTAGCGTATTTAGGCAAGCAAAGAAATATGCACGAACCGGTCACTGCAATCGTATCTAATAATTCAGATTGATTTCTCAACTGCCTACTTCAAAACCGGGTGGAATATATGTCAATGGATAGGGTGAAAGTTCAACGGTAAGGCTATTTTTTTTTTCTTCTTAATTTTAGAATGTAAAAAATTGAAAATATCTTCACTTACCGCTTGCATATGGATGTGACTGTAGTTGCTCCCACGCACCACACGCTTGTCATACATGATATTTTGTGGTTGTGACGGTGATTCTCCTCTGTATCGTCAGCAACGGGGTTATCAAACCGATTGGACATGAAAAATGTCATAATTTCCATAAATGTTTAACAATAGCACGACAAAATTTAAATCATGTACAAAAATTGAATAAAATATGAAAATGGAGAAATGTAGACAATAAAAAAAACGGTCAAAGCCTTGATTTGAACGTGTTCATGTATTATGGTTGAAAAAAAAATAATTCAGCACAGACTTAAAAATAAGATGATCAAGTATGAAAACGAAACATCTAAATGGCGAGGAAATGGTGTATTAAAATTGAGCCTTCAGAACAGGAACTGCAGAAATGGACATTCAACATAGTCTCAGCCATCTGTTATGATTTGGCATGATCCTTGTCCCTAATTTGAAATTGCTTCATTTAGCAAGTGGGTTTCCTTGCCGAACAAAAACCATGTTCATTAGTCAAAAATATCTATTAACTTGGTCATGCACAAACGAAAACCGAACGAAAGAATAGCTGTAAAAATGTACATTCACCTCATATTGCCTTTTCGTAAATCATTTGACCATTAAAATGAATCGAGTATTTGCCATACCCAAAACCCATATCTATATCAATAAGTTCAAAAAGGTACTTGAAGCTAAAGGACCTCGTACTATTTTAACAACTGGAAATTATTCGTTGCAGAGGAACAGCACACAGCAGTTGAACGAACAGAGAAGAAAAAGAAGAAGAAGAAGAATAACGATGAAGAAAAAAAAACAAAAACAAACCATTTCAACTTCCGATTCCTTTTGCACACGGAAACTAACGAAGTACGCAGACTAAAAAAGACATTTAGCCGGCAAATATTTCTTTCCATCGATTGCATTTAATGAATAGAGTGTAATGGCATACATATGTTATGTCATTAAAAAAATACGCTGCCTGAATCCGTGTTATTGGCTCACATGTGTGTACGGGTCGGCATATACGATGGCTAAAGTCGATTTTGTTATCGTTGCAATGTAAATGTGGTACCGGTAACATCACAGTAAATATTGCGACATGCAAAAAAAAACGCACACAGAACAAAATTGTCGAATACACGCATATTGCAACAGCAAACAAATTGCTAAACATATCATACGTATGTAACTAGCCGAAAATAGTCATTGCAATGGTTATTAATTTAAACGACAGGAAAATATTTCATTAAAATTAGTTTATGCGGCGGTAATTGTACCTACTATGCCACACAGTCATTGTATATAATTGCATATTCATAAAAAAAGTAATGACTCTGGCTAAGAATTTTGTTGTTATAAAAGAACATCCGCAGTACGTTGTTTTCTTTCTCACTCTCTCTCTCTCTCCCTCTCTCTCCCTCTCTCTCTCCCTCTCTCTCTGTCTGTCTGTCTTTTTTGTGTGAAATTTACGATTTTTCATTTATTCAGTTCAAAACCTTGAGTCAAATCTTTTCCAATTTTAATTATCCATTTACTGTGCCGAATGAAAGATAAAGTGCCACGTAAATGCATTACTCTTCATATGCAAAGTTTCAATTTGCGATTGGATTTCGTTGACGTGGTTAATTGTTTTTTATGTGTATTCAAGCGTCACGACATACACTAGCGTTTGTAAATCTTTATAAATCATTATTTAACATGTCATTTGCCATAATCAACAATTTTCTAATTCATTTGAGTATATTCCGAAACGAATTCCAAAATAAATTCAAAACAAAAACATATGAAAGAAAAAATATGTTGATCTAATACGAAAATTAAACAATAATAGTTGCATTACGCTGTAAATTGATGAGAACATCATGATGGCTGATGTTATAATTAAAATAGCCATGAATAATAGAGAGGAAAAAAAATGTTGTTTGAGACAGAGCCATAGGAATTCTTGTAATTTTTCCCAAATGTGCTTATTAGGCGCCATCAAATGATGTGCATGGAAACACATGAATCAAAACACATAAAGCGACACAGAAACGGGTTGTATTTTGCGAGTGTGCATGTCACGCAAGTGTCGTTCGAAAGAATGAACATTGAATTGTTTGTGTCTTTTTTCTCTCTCGGTCGGCTAACATGAAAAAGCACTTTTCGGCAGATGCATTCATGGAATGGAATTTTCATAAGTTATGTGAAAACACTGAATAATGCACCACCATTAAAATGTGGTGCGGCCTTGACAAGTTCTCTATTCTTTTCTCTTCAAAAGAAGTACTATTGACTTTAAACACCACGTATTATATTCGATTCGAGTGATTTAGTTAAGGTTTCGCTTTTTTTTTTTATCACCACGTTTCATCGTTTTTTCATTCGGAGTCCATTAAATTTTGATGGCTTTGCCAACGCAAAAATATTTTCTTTTCTATTTGGGCCATTCTTAGAAAATGTAAATTGAGCCGAGTCTTTTGTGTGTTGCTTCATTTTTGTCCGTTGCCTTTTTATTTCTTCGTCTGTCTCGATATGTGAATATATTTCATTAAATGTAATTGAAGTCCTTATTTTACCATTTTCGTTAAATATTGAAGCACGAATTTAGTTTGCATGCAGAAAATGCAATATTTTAACAAGTGAATAACATGTGATTTGTTTTTTTTTTCGCAAATAATAAATAAATGGTGGCATAATTGATATGCCAGTTTGCTAATTTCGTTTTAAATTAAAAAAAGAATGTGAAGCGACAGTCACAAAAACTGGAAATGATGAGATGATTGGGATGATTAGATAATTGAGTTTGATGTCCTACTGAATGAAAAACGTACCTCGGTTTGATCGATTTTCCATAGGTTGTCATTGTTTTTAGAGCATGAATCTCTGTAATTGGATTCTCTTTGTGTCCCTTATCGATGTTTTGGGCAAATATTTTCGGAATACTAAAGTATGCATATGTACGTGGATTACGAACTTTTGATGCGATCGGTAATTCTTTTGAGGGTGGCAAATAAACACCAGACGGAACAGTGGTAAAGAAACGAGGACGACTCGATGGATTAATCAATCCGTTATTCTCCTGTACGAGATTTATAACATGCAAGTAAACATTGTTTTATACATTCACAGCAATTTTAACAAATAAAATTTTAAATTAATAATCAAAAAGAAAAAAAAAACTAGACAAAACATATTTTTCTATAACATCGGCTATGCCATATGAATTTCATATTATAAAAGCCATGAAAAGACTTCGCAATTAATATTCTACCTAATTCTGTATAGTTTGTCATACCGACATTTATGTATCGGATTTACTAAGGTTAAACCTTGTTTAATTGAAATCAACGCGAAGTATTTACAGCAAAACGAATGAAATTGATTTGAACATGGCCTTTACGGGAAATTCAATGTCATCGTTCAACTTCCAATGATTTCATTTTCCCATTGAGAATGCGAGCAGCATAACAATATTGACATAAAACACTTGGATTGATTTTCCTGGTTCCAGGCATTTTGACCATGCCAAAAATCCAACACAACATTCACTCTCTGACCAATGATCACGGAGAAATTGAAGTCGGTTTCAGTGGGCACAAAATGACACGAAATACATTTGATCGATGACCGAACGCAATTTCAAGGATATTATTTGATTCTGCCAATTTATACATATATAAAATGGAACAATATTTATTATGTGAACGAATTGTGACCAATAGTGTGATAGCTTATTATAAATGGCAAGGCCAAGGTGACTAGCGTGTTGGGATCATAATCAAAATTCGAATCTATTTTTGAGATTATCATAATAAACATATTGTCGGCCAAAAGTAAATGTACAATTGCAATTGCCAAAGTGATCGCATTTAGGTTTTTTTTCCCATATGTTATGTTGTGCTTATTCATCGAATAAACGGAGCCAACCATTTAATTGTATAGTTGTACCGCCTTTTATAATAATCAAGAGAAAAATTATGTGAAACAGTCGGCGATTATAGTATTCTCACGTGTCAATACCTAATGCCTTTCATTTACTTTCGATTGGAGTTTTTCTAGAGGGCGACTGAAAGGACACGATTTGTTGTGGTTCCGAATAACTTTGGTGCGGTGTGAGCTTTGACGTTTTTCTCTGTGATGGTTTGCGTGCACAACAGCGAAAGTTATTAAACACATTGCCCACGAGCACACATACATTTATCTCGAGTTTTTTTGTTGTTGTTTTTGTTTGTTTTTATTACTTTGCGTTCGTTGAATGTGTAGAATAGAATTTTGGTATGGAGAAGAAGAAAAAATACCATACATACGTAATTCGATGAATTAACTTGCTATGTGGTGTATACAATCATTTGATAATCAACGAATTTAAAAATAAAATCCGTAAACATTGTTTTCAATTATAATGTGGCAAATAATTTCATTCTCATTTGATTAGTCAAATTTTTCAAAATATGTTGATGTTAATGTAAAAACGTGTGAGCAAAAGTGGCACTGTATCGATATAATATAGATCCAATTGAATCGCACATGCGGCATTAAAATAATCGATATGCATATATGAACATTTGACGGTTTCCATCACAAGGAAATCGATATACAGATATTCATCGAGCAACAAATTCGAAAGTCGAAGCAATTATAAATAAAAAATTAAATTGAATATTAAATTGGTGGTTTTACATTTTTTGAAGAATTTTTTTTATCCTTCTGCAGGTGTCGTAGTTTGTTGTCCAATTCCTTGGTGAACGTATCGATTTCTCGTTTTTTTTGTTTCACAGGAACATTAACCTTTGGCGTTGATTGACTCGAAGCCGGTAAATTGGCTTCGTTTGCCTCTGGCAGTATCATTTCATTTGGTTCATTTCTCCGAAGTGGTCTTACAATTGCGTTTGGTTTTCCATACGGACCATATTCGTCGGTGTTATTATTGATGGGAATAACGGAAAAAATGGCATTAGGACCAGTTGCTGTTGATGCTGATGCTAGTGTAGTTGATGTATACGCATTTTTCGCTTCAATTGATTTCGGTTCGATGATCGTTGGTTTCACTGACAATACTCCAGATGACATAAATGACATTTTTTTTTATTCAATTACGATTTTATTTCCAAGGGTTCTTTTCTCTCTCTATCTCTCTCTCTCTCTCTTTCTCAAGTTGAAATAATTTTCAAAACAATTACACACCTGCACATCTCGTCATTTTTTTTGTGATTCAATGTTCAAAAATAAAAACAAAAATTAAAAGAAAAATAAACAAAAGTGAATCCTTCGTATATTGTTCACACCATTTTACACTTGTTTCGTTCTGTTTTCGTAATAGATCAATGAATAAAATTCACACATAATATGATCAGTAAAAACACTAAAACGAGATATTTAAATGTATGCACGTCATTTTTACGATGAAAACCAACATTTTCGATCTTCGATTTTCTTTTGGTTAATTCGCTTGTGTTGCTTGAAGCTTTTACCGGGTGTTGCTGTCAAATTATCGAGCTTAAGATAATATGAACTGTTCATGCAAGTGTCTTACAGTCGAATGACCAGACGCTTTTATTATAGCGATTATGGTTGGGTAGTTGTTGTGGTCAGCTGGAAAAGACACACAAAAACAAACGCTTGAAAATATTCCATTTGATTGTGTTTCGCACCACAAACAAGCTATACAACAATGGGGGGGAAAAAGCACACATCGTCGATTGCCATGTGTGAGTGTATTTTTACCATCAGTGGAAATATTTGTATTTTCCACGCCAGCAATACCAATGGCAAAGCAATGGAATAATCGACAACTGTATGGCAAACAGCTGCTGTCCATTGTGAAAACTACACCAAACATCCACTCAATTCTGGTAAAATATAATTCAATCATCCAACCATATTTCACCCGAAGGAAATGTGCACATTAACAGGCACATGTCGCATTCAAAGAAATATCTTACACTTCATTATCCATTTGAAAACCTTAATTACATTTTCATTTTATTTCAATGGATTTTCGCACTCTGATTATTAAAATAAAAACAATCACACGAACACCCAATTATAAGGCAACTGCATTGATCTATTTTTCAATTTTTTTTTTAAATACACAAAACACAATGATCCTAAGTAGTTTTACTTTTGATTTTGTTGAAATGTGAAAAACTGCGACATTGATCGATGTCTTATTCGTATTATGATTTATTTGACCTCGGATTTTGTTCGCCGAACTTAGTGTTACCCTTTTGTGGTGAAGTATACTTTTACTGTGATTAATTCAGCGTCTCAAGGTTATTGGGAAAGACGTATTAATGCAGGATATTGTTTTTTGTATCATGCTATGTAATTTAAATGCTTCGACTTGGATTGTGTTTAATTTCTGGGCTTTTTCTAAATGAAAGCGTCGATAGTTACATTCCAAAATAGCACAAACAGTGCGAGTCGCAATTCTTCGGAAATCAATGGGAGTGGAAGAAAAAATGAAAATTACTAATTTACTAAGGTCAATTTTTTTATTGCTTAAATGTTTGAGCGATAAAAATTAAGATTATCATCGATAATTTTGTTGATGTAAATAACAACAAACAGGAACAGGTAACATACAACTAAGGTTAACATTCCGAATTGAGATCTAATTCAGTTTTATTTTTGTTTCCTAATAACTTAAAAAAAATCAAAACTGTGTATATTTTGAGAAAAAATTTAGCCACAAGTGTTCGTCATTCCAAAAAATTTCTTCTGAATTTCTAGAGGAGTCATTTTAAATTCATTCAAAACAGGGGGTGACACCTGGTAAGAAGCCATGAATCGCAAAATATCGCTGTCAAATAACAATATATCGCTGCCAAATCAGCCTACCCCTACATTTGGAGTCTATTGTAAATTTTAAATAAATCGTATATAATTTATCCATTCAAAATTATTATATTTTCATAACATTGAATAATATCCAGTTTCCACGATTTCATTCAAGTTGCGTGCATGTTTTTTTTTCTATAAAATATCTATTATTCAAGTAAAACATTTAAAACGATGAAACGGAACTAGTTATTGAGATTTTCATTATTATTTTACCGATTCATTCATCGTAAATAAGTGAAGTGACATAATTTTCAAAACCCATACTGACGCTCTCTTCATGAAATAGTAAATATCTTTTTTTTTGTAAATTTCGTTTATAAATGGACAATTTTCAACTGTTTGAATTAATAAACAAGACAAAGTTAATCGAATCCCATTCAAAATTGGTAATTCACCAAAGTTGATTTTATTCGGCGTTTCGTGTTGATTTGCAGTCATTTTTTCATTACATGCAGCCAATGGGAGGAAATGACACCAAGTTTTAAAATTGGCGCGCTGTTTAGTTTCGATTTGAGTTGTTAAATTACATTGACGTCCCCTTTGAAATTCGGGGCGCCACCGTTGGCTCAAAGAGACTTGAAGTCTTCACATCCTTCCATTGCATGCAGCTCCTGTCCAGGCAAACAAAAAAAAACGCGGCAAGTTCAACGACGGTCAAATCTAATGAATCTAAAGGCAGTCTCAAAAATACCAACAATAAATGTATACACAAGCCATTGTATGAAACATGCGATTACTGCATTATGGAGGAAATTTTTAAAAATCGTCAAATAGAATGTATATATATACCTATAAATGTATTAGGCTAGAAAATGAAGAGAGAAAAAAAGCCTAAAGCGATGACTTGACATGCAAACACAATCGATACAATATATTGTTTACTTCTGCAAAATGAAAGGATTTCGCAAATAACTTTTGCGAAATAAGACAAGAAAAACGCATTCCGTTCGCGCAAACAAAACTTGATTTATGGCTAATTAGCATATCGGACTAGCAATCAATAATCTCATACCATAATCACAATACACGTCAACGAGCGTCATTTAACATTCGGCTTTCTTATTTCATTTTTTGCGTGTGCGGCTCGAAATGAATCCTTGTTACTACTTCAGACTCAGAACGTTAGAAAATCTTCCTATTTCGTACATTATTTTCATTTCGGCCGGTTTGACTTTGATTTTGGGTAATGTAATGGATAATTCATACTTACGGTTGGTGTGGTGTTGGTGCTATAATAGCAACATTGTTTGATTTGCGATTGTTGTAGACGGTTTTTGGGGAGCTAAGCCACGTGTAAAAGCCCTTTTGCGATTGTGATGAATTGTGAACTTCTTTGGTTGATGGCAAAGTTCGTGGGTTTGCATATTGCTTTGTCATTGGACTTTGTACACCAGATTCCATTCCGGAGAAATATGCACGTGATTTCACTGTCACACCCGGCATCAGAATATTGTTAAACATTTCATCGCAAGATTTCATTTTTTCGCTCGTTTCTTATAATTTTTTTTTTTTAATTCACAAACACAACGGTTTTTTACCAAATATTTTTTTTATGGTCGTAATCATTTGAAATGAAACGTGATGTGAGTTTCGCGTGCCAAAAAATCACACGATAATTATATAGAGCGATGAATCTAATTTTAAGATGTTTGGCAATGGACAAAAAAAAACGATAAATGGCTCTTGGCAATACAATAAATTCCAAATTGGAATTTTAATCCTCGCAAACACACGAATTTTGAAATTTTCGTTCGAAATCGATAAAAACGAACTTGTTTTTTTTTGAAACCAGAAGCCGTTGTCATGGTGTTTCGGTTTTGCGTGCAAAGAAATTTGTTTACTAATTTAACGATGTGAAAACATTTACGCTGCTACGATAAATGTGCCGAAAGCTCATCGAATACTTACGCTAGATGGCGGTTCGAGCATAATTTAACAAAATAATTTCTGGCCAAAATGGTTGTGATTCGTAATATGTGCATTGGATAAAAATTTAAAATCCATCTGGCGAGAGAATCCTCATTGAATTTCAATTTGAATCGATTGTCTCGGCTTACCATGGTTAAATTTGTTTCGATTCATATCACTTTTCATTGCCTTTGAATTATACCAAATGCCATCAAATTCAACATTGCATTATAAATCAAAAGTGTTTTCATCTGAAGAAGCGCGCCACTTATTGATTTCGTTTGAATATAATTATCTTTTTTTTTTTCTCGGACACACGACAAATGATTTGATCAAATGATTCAAGGAAAACTGTAATTATTCGTTGTCTCTCGTTGTTTTTAAATAGCGAATGAATTCAAACATAAATTACAAATGACGGAAACACGTGTTAAATCTGTATTATATTGGTTAGAAACGGTAGTACTTTTCTTATTGAACCATTTCGTGTGACGACGTGTTTGGTCCTCTGATCCATGTGTAAGTGTAGATTGAATATAAATATTTAATGTTGTTTCTTTAATCTGTCAATTTGAATCGATTTAATACTCTCGTTGTCATCGACATAAGACGAAACAGAAGAGAAAAAAAAAATCATGATACCACTCTATATTCACAAATGATAAAATCGCTGAGATAATTTTTTTTTATTTGAATTAACAAATCCGGTAAAGGACTGTTCAATAATTAATGTGACAAAAATGTCGATCAAATCAACAGCTCTTCGAGTGAATAAATCTGTGATCGAATTTACACTTAAATTCATTTGAATTGAATCCAACGGTTGCTGTGGATTTCTTTCAATTTCGCTTTTTCCACTGTTCGATATACATTTTGTACTTTCGTCTGCTCGAATTTTTGTTGGAATTGTTTTACATATTATTTCATAGAATCGATTTATTGATCCAGGGCTCGTGTATAAAATTGTCTTTAGCCTTATAATTTATTTATTAAAATCTCAGTTTTGGTATCGCTTGAGCACACGTTTGTCTCATTGATCAATGAATAATTCAGCGTGAATTTGTTAAACAACTGAGAATCTACTTAATTCGTTATTTTACTACTGAAAAAAAAGGTAACAAATTAACATATACGTAAGTATGAGAGAGAAACGCACAGTCTGCGAGAAGAAAACAACCAGCGAAAATTAAGACGAAGAAGGGAAAAAAACACAACATTTTATTTTGTATGCATTCAGAGCCCACATTTAATTTTCAGAATTTGAAAACAATCAATTTAGTAATCGATGAATATACTTTGATTGTGTGCATCATTTTCCCTTGTTTATGATGATTATCGTCATTTTCGTTTCGGATCCACGTGTGCTTGGACTTAAATGCGCTTCAATTTTTTGGGAAACCAATGCTTCAAATCGATCC